ATGGTAATAATTCTTCCTCTAATTATTGTTAATACCACTACTGCTGTGTATTTGTTCAATTCTTCTAAATTTAGGAGGGCCATAGTCACAACAGTCTTTGCACATTCTTATACTAAATTTATGGAAAATAGACATTTGCTTTGCCTCTACTATCAGTTATATTTCTTCAAAGGGGAATTCATCTCAGAATTAACACAATAGGTCCCTCATAATTGCATAAATACTAAGGGAAATATCATGTAAGAACTCCCATGCCTATGCAACTACAATTTTCACTTCTCTCTGCCCCTCCTCAATATCTACATGCATAATGATGCCAGGTAAGTGATAGTCATTAGCTGTATAGAGCCACATGTAGATAAAGGATGATGACCACATGTACCTGTTCCCCAAGTTGGTATAAAGTAATTGGAGACAGATCTATTCTTTATATTGGACTGGGCTACAAAGTCTGTCTATAAATAGCTTTATGGTCACTGTGAATTCTATTTTCTATCCTTTAGTGCTTTTTGTTCCTAATGACAATATTTGTTTCTAATAATCTAGGCCCACCATCAATTGATCTAAAAGAATTCATGGAGGTTGAAGAAGGAACTGATGTTAGCATCGTGGCCAAAATTAAAGGTGTACCATTCCCAACACTAACCTGGTTTAAAGCTCCTCCAAAGAAGCCTGATAATAAAGAACCTGTGATCTATGACACCCATATCAATAAACTCGTGGTGGATGATACTTGCACCTTAGTTATTCCACAGTCTCGCAGGAGTGACACTGCCTTATATACCATTACTGCTGTGAATAACCTGGGAACAGCATCCAAGGAGATGAGGTTGAATGTCCTTGGTAAGGATTGCATGGTTTTATGAGAACTGTGTGTTTTTTCTGTTCATAAATGTAATGTTTGGCTTCAAAATTATTCTACTAATAAAGTTTTTCTTTTTAAACCATTTTAGGTCGCCCTGGCCCTCCAGTGGGACCAATAAAGTTTGAATCTATTTCAGCAGACCAAATGACTTTGTCTTGGCTCCCACCAAAAGATGACGGTGGGTCTAAGATCACAAACTATGTAATTGAGAAAAGAGAACCTAATAGGAAGACATGGGTGCGTGTCTCCAGTGAGCCCAAAGAGTGCATGTTCACAGTTCCCAAATTACTAGAAGGCCATGATTATGTATTCCGGATCATGGCGCAGAATAAATATGGCATTGGGGAGCCTCTTGACAGTGAACCTGAAACAGCAAGAAACCTCTTCTGTAAGTAGCACAGGTTTCACATACAAAGTCATTCTTATGTCTGTTTTCATAAGTTCTTATGAATCAATGTGATTATCCTTCTCACAGCTGTCCCTGGAGCACCAGATAAGCCAACAGTTAGCAGTGTGACTCGTAACTCCATGACTGTCAACTGGGAGGAGCCAGAATATGATGGAGGCTCCCCTGTGACCGGATACTGGCTAGAAATGAAAGACACCACTTCAAAGAGATGGAAGAGAGTCAACCGAGATCCTATCAAAGCCATGACTTTGGGTGTTTCTTATAAAGTGACTGGCCTTATTGAAGGTTCTGACTACCAATTCCGGGTGTATGCGATCAATGCTGCTGGTGTGGGTCCAGCAAGTCCACCGTCAGACCCAGTGACTGCTAGAGATCCCATTGGTAAGCCTTGACACCATTTGTTTTCTTTTTATTTTTTTTCCAAAGTGCCATGGTATAGTCACGAATACTAATGTATACTGGTTCTTTCCAGCCCCACCTGGTCCTCCATTTCCCCAAGTCACAGACTGGACTAAATCATCTGCAGATCTGGAGTGGTCTCCCCCACTAAAAGATGGGGGATCCAAAGTAACTGGATACATCGTTGAATTTAAGGAAGAAGGAAAAGAAGAATGGGAAAAGGTAACTAACGCTTGGTATTACGGAGATGTAATATGAATAAACTAAAAATGTAGTGGTTATTCTGAATCGCATTAACTTCCATCTGTATCTTTTGAATTAAGAAATCATATTATAATCCAAATATCTGTTATATCAAAAATCTAATGAAAGTTAAATCATGTTATTGTTAACTTATCTTTTGGTTATAAACCCTGAGAAAGTGAAATAAATGCATAGTACAGG